GGCACTCAATCCACTGAGCCACACTATCCAGGGCAAATAAATAAAATCTTAAAAAAAAAAAGACTCCATCTGGACACCAATATGAGTGAGACCTTTACCTCTTGTGGACTGTAAAAACTCACAGCTCCCACCACCCATTGTGCAAGCTTGGCTCTACCACGGGTCACACTCAGAGCCCTGCTGGACTTCTACTCCACCAGACATGTGCTACCACTATAACCTGGCTTGGGACCCAGGCCCACCTTGCCACTTGTGGACACTGCCAGTGCCCAGGACTTCTCCCCAGAGGCTCTGTCTGCTCCCTTCTATCATGTGAGCTCCCCCTCTCTACGTGTAACCTGCCTGTGACTCCATGGGCTTATTAAGGAGGAGTCTCCCCTGATAAACCCAGCATTGTGGAAAGATACAATGTGTGTGAGTGACTCCTTTCAGGGATGCTCTCTTGCTCTCAACAATTTTTTTTTAGAACTTGTAGTAAGTAAAAGAATTTTGCTTTTGTTTTGCCAGTGTGCATACTGGCCTTGAGAAGACAGTCTCTCTTTGAAATGTTCTGTGCAGCACTCTGAATATAAACAGTTACTGAAAGCACTAGACCTACACTGATTTTGTGTAATACAGTGCTTATAAGGAAGCCATGGTTTCGAGAACAAGGTAGTTCTATTTCTTGAAAAATATTTCTTGCTCTGGCTGGGTAGCTCAGTTGGTTAGAGCATCATCCTGATACGCCAAGGTTGCCATTCTATCCCCAGTCAGAGCACATAGAAAAATCAACTAATGGATGCATAAATTAGTGGAAAAATAATTGATTTTTTCTCTCTTCCTCTCTCTCTAAAAATCGATACATAAAACCCTTTTTTTGAGGCCCTGGCTGGCGTAGCTCAGTGGATTGAGCGCGGACTGTGAACCAAAGTGTCACAGGTTCAATTCCCAGTCAGGGCACATGCCTGGGTTGCAGGCCACGGCCCCCAGCAACCGCACATTGATGTTTCTCTCTCTCTCTCTCTCTCTCCCTCCCTTCCCTCACTAAAAATAAATAAATAAAATCTTAAAAAAAAACCCTTTTTAAAAACATACTAAACATTAAAAAAATACTTCTTAGGCCCAAAAAGTAGTATGTAGACATTTTCCATCTTGTTTTATAATAAACTACCCTCATAAGTTATTCACATAGTAATGTTAACATAAGTATATTATCTTATATATTTGTGTTATTTATTATATTCATTTTTATTGTTACATAATAGTAATATAATAACATATAACTAAGTAAATAAGAAAAAAGTTAGGTTCCCACTCCCTTGAAGGTAAAATCCAATATCCTAAGAGGAACATACCAAGTCCTTTACAGCCTGTCTTCAAATTACTTTATCATTTCCCTATTCCTACATGCCAAACTCTCAGTCCAAACTTCTTTTATTCTTCCAGGTCTGTTCCTTCTGCCTGGAATGCTTTTCCTCTACCTTCTTCACTGCACAAGCTCCTACCTACTCTTTGGACCCCAGATCAAAAGGCACCTCCTATATGGAGCTTTTTCAATGGCATCTCTCTTCATTAACGTGTCTGTGTCCTTGAGGGGAGGAGCCATCTCCTATTTTCCCATTATTATTATTATTTAGATTTTATTTATTTATTTTTAGAAAGAGGGGAAGGGAGGGAGAAAGAAAGGGAGAGAAACATTGATGTGTGGTTGCCTCTCATATGCCAGCCAGGGCTCCCTTATTATTTTTTAAAATGGAAACACAAAAATTGTTCAATAAATGATAGAATGAAAAATAAAATAAATATGTGAATTTGGGGAAAGTTACCCTGATGTCCTTGTAGAATATTAATCAGGGAAACAGGCTTATCTTTCTAAACTTGGATCACAAGTAAGAGGTGGCAGGCTCACTCAGGCAAATGGGAAATTGAAAGGATGTTATAGTGAATCATATACCATCTTGGAACCCTAGGCCAGGGCAGGAGGGGACATAGGTCACCTTTCTTGACTGTTGAAGCCAATAAGAATTATAAAACCATCTCCCTTCAGTTCCATACCTGTTTTTCCTGCTCTCGGAAACTGGCCTACTTCCTCTACTCTCCTCTCTGTAGCAAGAGATTTTTAGGTTTTTAAAGAAATCTAGTGCTAGCTGGTGTTGCTCAGTGGATTGAGTGCTGGCCTGCTAACCAAAGTGTCACTAGTTTGGTTCCCAGTCAGGGCACATGCCTGGGTTGCAGGCTAGGTTCCCAGTAGGGTGTGCTAGAGGCAACCACACATTGATGTTTCTCTCTCTCCTTCTCCCTCCTTTCCTGTCTCTCTAAGAATAAATAAATAAAAATCTTTTTTTAAAAAAGACATCTAGTACATAACACTAGATTGGAAATGAGGAAAATTGTGGTCATTTATCAGGGTCAGAATATTGAGAAAATTGACCATTATTCACTCCTGACTCTCTGATGAAAAATGAGGAAACTGTTTTCCTCAGGATACCTTTGACAAAATGTTAACATTCAAATGATTATGAGTTGGCCATCATCCGGAAAACTTTTCTTTTTAAAGATTTTATTTATTTGTCTTTAGAGAGAAGGGAAGGGAGGGAGAAAGAGAGGGAGAGAAACAGCAATGTGCGGTTGCTTCTCACACAATCCTCACTGGGGACCCGGCCTGCAACCCAGGCATGTGCCCTGACTGGGAATGAAACTGGTGACTCCTTGGTTTGCAGGCCAGAGCTGAATCCACTGAATCACACCAGCCAGGGGGGAAAACTTTTATTTGGAAATAAATATCGATTCACAGGAAGCTGCAAAAATTGTACAGGGATTTCCCATGTAGCCTTACCAAGTTTCCCCCAATTTCAACATGTATCTAGGATACACTATCAAAACCAGAAAATTGACTTTGGTACAAGCCACATACCTTATTTAGATTTTACCAGTTTTACATGCACTCATTTGTGTGTGTGTGTCTATGTGATCTTAATCAGAGGTGTAGGTTCTCGTAACCACCACCACAATTAAGAGATGGAATTACTCCACTTCAAAGATTCCTTGCACTACCTCTTCGTAATCACACCCATTTTCAGGTCTTCCCTTCCTCTTGCATCCTTTTAAATGTTTTATTTATTTATTTTTTAATATTTGATATTGCTCACTAACCCCCCGAAAAGGAGATGGGCTTTCCTATTGATTCTTGTGCTGTTTTAAATGCTGGGGATAGAAAGGAGCATGGGTCTAGGAAGTTAAGGGAAACTTCTGTGCCCACCAGTGGGAAAATCATTAATAGTAACCCAAAGATGTTAAAAGCGACACAAAGCCTACTCACGGAAATGATTTTTATTCCTGTAATTGGTTAATTTCCAGGAAAATGTACATTGGCTCTGTGTAGATAAAACACATGGCATGGTACTAAAACTGATAAGTGTTCAGCAAATATTTATCAGGCAAGTACACTGGTCCAACAGGGAGCAATGCATTCCACAGCCAGTTCCTAAGAGAATTCGAGGCAACTCTCCATTTGTTCCAGAGGGCAGTTGTTTTCAAATTAGTAGAGCTTTTTTTGCATCTGGAACAGTAAAAAAGCTAGCAGATCACCTATTTGCTTTTCCTATTTACATATCCCTAATTACTTCTCCAAGCTGCAGATAAAACACAAAAATAGACCTCAAATGCAGACTAAAGCCATTAACCTGAAACAGCACTCCATAAGCCGCTTTCCATTCCTAAAATTTCAGAGATTCTCCACCAGATCCCTCTGCTCAGTATTGTGTAGCCCACCTTTTAAGGGACAGGAAAGGTGCAGACCAGCTGGGTGATAACAAGTTACCAAGGTGGGTGCACTTACTTTGGTAGCCAGCACAATGCTGAAAACTTCCATTTAATCCACAAAATAACCCTGTGAGATGCCCTATTATCTCCATTTTACAGTTGAGAACACTAAGACTTAGAGAACTTAAATATTTTCCTTAGAGCTGCACAACTAATGACTGGAAGTGGCGGAATTGGAAACCAGGTCAGTTGACCAGTGCTAGAAAGTCTTGGCATTCATTAGGTCTGAGGTGTGACACAGAAATATACACAGAATGCTGTTCACAGCCACCCCCTCTTCCTGCACCCCCGCCCCAGTAATTCCAATACACTGATTTCATGGGATGCATTGCTAGAATCTATATCCTATAAAGAATTCCCTGCAAATTGGGGTGCTGAAAACTTAGAAACTTAGACCAGAGATGCTTTTACTTCATAAACGTGTGCTTCATTCAGATAGATGATGCTAAGTGACTAGTGGCTTTTGCCTGCTGCTTTGGATGAAAATCTATTTTTAAATTGTTTGTGTCTTATTATTTTCAAGCTCATCAAGTCTAAGTGTTGCAAGCACTCTACCAGAAAGGGAATTACTGGTACATTCATTACCTTGTAGCTATGGAGCACATGTTTAGTACTTCCTGCAGTGAGGTGAGTGGATTCTGACATAGTTCTTGGAAGTCTTTGCATTCACTTTTCCTATAAAAGAAGAAAGAGGAGGAGGAGGAGAACAAGTAGCCAGATGGTAACTCTGGATAAGAAGAAATAAAAATAAAGATATATAATGCCACAAAAAGGTTTCCTTTCATCTGAAGCATATTTTGGCAAATTATTAGACATAATGAAATGTTCTTAATAAAATCTAAAGATTGCTCTATGAGGAATAAGAGTGTGAATTAACATAAAAAGTAGCTTTGTATACACAGGTCAACAGAACACAAACTGAATTTGTTTCATTCACAAGAACATTTGAGGAAAGTATCTCAAATCATACTTGATTTCAACACACAAGCCAAAGGACTAATATAATAAACCGCCCACAAAGAATGAACCTATTTTGAACTCGTCATTCTGCAAATATGTACTAGTATATTAAGACATGCTTAAAATTGCGCAAGGTAGAGACATATCTGACCTTTTATTGAAGAGAGGAGGAGTCAAGTATCCTGAAAGGGCTGGGACCTGCCTCCAGTCCCTCCGGAACTTCCTGTTGTCACCACACCTCTGCACTAGTTACCTGATCTGTCTCAGAGCAAAGCTCTCAGTTGAAACTCGAAGGCTCTGTGAAAGAAATCACTCTTGTGAGTGTGACACACACTCTCTCCAGTTTCCACATGCTGGGATTGTACTTCTTCATCAGTTTGTTGTGCCTGGCCAGATCAGGTAAGTCATTTATTGATCAGTTTCCTTAATTTTTCAAAAAACATTACTAGTATTAATGTCATTTTGCATGTTATCATCCCAGTTTCTTAATGTAGTTTTAATTTTCATCCAGTCATTTTTAAGAAAGAAAATAGGGATTAAATAAATTTTCTAATTCTGAAAAAAAAATATTTTTTCTCAGTAATAAAAGAAAGTCTTATTCCTTTGAATTAATTTGTTCTTCTGAGGTGCAAAAATTAAATATGTTGAAAAATCTAGAATAATGTTCTTCATAGTTAACATTTCTTTGCCTTTCCACTTCTATGAAATAAGATTATTTATTTTTTGGAAATTTAAAATTTTATTTTATTAGAAGATCTAATTAATATATAGAGGGCAGGTTTTTATAGCATTTGTGCATTGAGGGTTTATTTAAATTGTTCTTACAGAAAAACATAATTTTTATATATGTAAACCCCTTAGAATGGTGCTTGGTATATAGATAGTTTAAAAAGTATTAATCATAATTAAGAAATAAAAAGTAAAACAATAACAAAAATAAAGTGAAAAGATTTTTTAAAGATTTTATTTATTTATTTTTAGAGACAGGGAAAGGGAGGGAGAAAGAGAGGGAGAGAAATATCAATGTATGGTTGCCCCACTAGGGACCTGGCCTGCAACCCAGGCATGTGCCCTGATTGAGAATCAAACTAGTGACCTTTTGGTTCCTAGCCTGCGCTCAATCCACTGAGCTACGCCAGTCAGAGCAAAAAGCTTTTTTAAAATCTCGACATCTCTCAGTATTTTTAGGAATCCAGTTCTTTTTCACATAGGTTGTGATAATGTGGTACAATTTTTTTGAAGGAAAATATATATTAGGATCCATAAAAATGTTCATGCCCTTTGAAGTAGTAAAACAACTTTTAAAAGAGAAAGAACTTACATACAAACATGATTCTGTTATTTATAATACCTTGAAACTACATACACCAGAAGTATACCTACATACAGGAATGGGTTAAGTAAAACTAAAATTTTAACAATGTTAAAATCATGTAAGTATACCTGTAAATAAAGTTTAGATGGGAAGTGGAAAAGTTAAAATAGTTGTATTAGAATTTCAAGCCCTGGCTGGCGTAGCTCAGTGGATTGAGCGCGGGCTGGGAACCAAAGTGTCCCAGGTTCGATTCCCAGCCAGGGTACATGCCTGGGTTGCAGGCCATAACCCTCAGCAACTGCACATTGATGTTTCTTTCTTTCTTTCTCTATCTCCCTCCCTTCCCTCTCTAAAAATAAATAAATAAAATCTTTAAAAAAAAAAAGAATTTCAGGCTTAGACATAAATGTGTTTTTTGCTCAATCCCTCCACCCCTCCAAACCCAGCCTCCCAACCTACCCCCCCCATCTGTCAGCCTGCTCTCTCTAAGTCTCTCTCTATTTTGCTTGTTAGTTCATTTTGTTAATCAGATTTCACATATGAGTGAAATTATATGGTACTTGTCTTTCTCTCACTGGCCTATTTCACTTAGCATAATGCTCCCTGTCACAAATCCCGGTAAGATTTCCTTATTTTTTACAGATGAGTAGTATTCCACTGTGTAAATGTACCACAGGTTTTGTATCCACTCATCTATTGATGGGCACTTGGGCTGCTGCCAAATCTTGGCTATTGTAAAAAATGCTGTAAAGAACACATGGGTGCACATATTCTTTCAAAATAGCATTTCAGGTTTCTTTGGATATATTGTGGAATCACTGAGTCAAGAAATAAATATTTCTTACTTTGTGCTTTTGAAGTTGATTTAACAGTAAGTTAAAATTTTACTAGTGATGATATTTTTAACTGAAAATAAACATTTTAAAATGTGTGTATCATTTTTTTATTTTAAAAATGAACATAAATGTAAGGGTAGCTTTAGGGGAGAAGGAAATAACCATAACACAAAAACCTGATGATGATTTGTGGTTACTTCTTCCAGTCTCCCATCATATATCTCTGTTTACAAAGTAGGAATTTGGTTTTTTGTGACCTGCCTTTTTACTTAATTACCTCATTAGTAAAGTCTTGTTTTAAATAGATCCTAAAAGACTCACCGCTGCATGATAGAATCTACACCGACAGTGATACACAATACACTTCTGTGGCTAGAAGGAAAAGGTATAGTTATAGCTGTAAGCTAAATCTGGACTTCTCAGTATCTGCAAAACAGTGAACTTGGAAATTCCATGTGGGAGGGAACTGAATAATATGTATCCGATAGCAGAAATTATTAATCACGTTTTGCTTTTGCCCTGTTTGCCTTGTAGACCAAAAATTAGCAGGTGTTAGATTGTGATTCAGAAGTCCCAAGGACACAAGTCTTCACTTTGGGAGGTTTGTGCTTTGTTGTTCTAGCCTCTATAAAACCGTCATGGGAATGGTGGCCATAATCTCACCAGTGTACACAGCAAACTCTAGAGCGCACCAGAAATTTCTGGGAAATTTGTTAGAAAAGCAGAGACTCTCCCTCTAGACATCCAGGCTCAGGGGGTCTGGTGTGAGATCCTAAAATATGCATCTTTAATAAACCCTCATGGTTTTTCAGCTACAGGTGGTCCAAAGAACACAGCTGATAAACACTGTTTTAAATTAAGGCTATTGTCCTAAATATTTTTTTAAAGTTACTATGTTATCAATCTTTGGCCTATGGTAACTTGTGTAAAACTAAGTAGATATTTTCCTAGAGAAAACAGATTAGTGCTAAACATGAAGAATATTTCCTAGGATACTGGAAATCCTTTCCAAGTGGTTTATAATTCCGTGTGTGATTCATCCTTCTCAAACACAAAAGCATAGGTGAGTGAGGGGGTGGGGTGTGAATGCGCATAGTTTGCATATGATTAAGAAATGAGAGTGAAGAAACCTGGCATCTGATTTGTTTTCTAAATTGTATCCTAAAGAAAGATAAGCCAGGGGTTAAAAGTAGAGGTATCATTCCAGGCAAGAGGGCATTTTGCCCATAAGAGTCTTTCCTGCCTGTCGGGGCTTGCTTTGCCCTGTCGGGATGGGGGCTGGGGTGCAGGGGAGGAAGAGAAACAACTGATATTTCCTGGCCAGCAGCGAATGCTTCACATTCTACCTCAGGACAGGTTTTTAACATCAGATTCAGGTGGTCCTCTGCACAAAAATATAGTTACTTTTTTTTTAACTTTATTTTTAGAGAGAGGGAAAGGGAGGGAGAAAGAGAGAGAGAAATATTGATGTGTGAGAGACGCATGGATCAGTTCCCTTTCTCATGCCCCCAACTGGAGACCCAGCCCACAACCCAGGCATGTGCCCTGACTGGGAATCAAACGAGCAACCCGTAGGTTTGCAGGCTCACACTCAATCTACTGAGCCACACTAGCCAGGGCTTCTTTTCATATTTAAAAACTCAAGTAGAATTTCATGGCAGTGACATGTCACCTCCCCCTTGTAATTTCTCCTAAGAAAAGGAGTCCAGCTTACTTTCTAATTTCTCCAAGGCAAACTTTCTGGCCTAAAGAGATTTTTATTTCTGAGACTTTTAGAAATTCCTTCAGAAAAGTGTTTTCAGACAAGCATAAGAGTGTGCTCAGTGTGGGTTACTGGAAACATCTCGCCTCCATCAATTAACATTGGTGAGCTGTGTCCTAAACACTGACTAGCATTCATTGCCCAGCATGTAGAATACAGGACAAAGCATCTCTTAATCTTGGTCTGAATCTCAGTAAATATTTTCAGGCAGCATTGAGCTAGTATACCTGACCTTGGACTTCTGTTCTAAAGAAGGTATTAACACACATCTGCATCATATTTGGGGGAGGTGGGAAATGATAGCTAGCTTGAGCACACCTTGGAACCCAAAACTTGAACTAAGATAGTGTGAGCCAGAGCCATGCTTGCTTTACTTCCTGTCTGGATACTGTGTATCAAAGTTAAATTAGGTGCAATTTCACAGCTGTCACTTGGGTTTGAAAGTTAGTGGGCTAAAGGTTACCAGCTGGAGGTCTGAGAGAAACTGATATTTTCAGTTTTAATAACTGGACTCAGCCACTTGGGTGGTATAAAATGAACCTACCTTTGCTTATTGACTCTGATAGAATGTCAGAACTTTCTCTCTTCTTGCACATACTCAACACTTGCTTCATCAGTGGATTATTTCTGTCCACAACTCCATCACCTTCCTGGATGTGAATGAGGTGTTTCCTCTTTCTGTAGAAGTTTCCCCCCAATCAGAAATGTGGGGAATGTTATCAGTTCCTCCAAACGCAGGTAGAAACTAAAAGGCCAGGACCGAATGTGATACCAAGATAGCACGTGTAGCTTTATTTAGTTTCAGGGCAGGCAGTGTGTCTCGTGGAGACAGAGCAAAGGCTCCTCTGGAAGTTCCATCCAGAGTTGTCAGTGCTTAGTCTTATCTCAAGCACTGTCTGTCCAACTGAGACTCATGAAATAAATCAGCCTCGGGAAACAGTGGTCTCTTTTCTGGGCTGTCTTCTAGAGAAATGTAGCTGGCGGTTAAAAGCGGAGATGTCCTTCCAATCAAGAGAGCATTTTGTCCACCCAACCCAATTTTCTCTGGCAAAGAGAGAACAAAATAACAATTTTATTTAGTCCCTAAGCCTGAGAATAATAGTAGTAGTTTATTTTTGCATGAATAGGTACAAACCCTCACCTGCCCCCCAAACAGAGTGACCATGGTGTGGGGCTTTATTTAACCTTCCAGGGACAGAAATGGAAGTCCATCAACCTCAGTCTCCAAGGGGAAAGAAAACAAATTAGAAAACTGGGAGCCTGTTTTGATTTGGACAGAAAAAGTAAAATTTCTGCCCAGTTACTTTCAAAAGACTTTTCATTTTTTCACCCTGATTTTTCCATGAAAGTATGAAAATTATAGGAACCTTTTTTGTTTGTTTTTATTGAGCTATAATTCACATAACTTGCAATTCACCCATTTAAAATGTACGATTCAATGGGGTTTTTGTTGTATATTCACATCACCAATTTTAGAATATTTTAT